TGCGACCGCATAGAAGTTTATATTATGCGACGGCATAGTTATATAGTTCTTTTTGCCGGACAGTTTTTAATATTTTGATCATAATTCTCTCTCCTAATCTCCGATTGAAGTGATTCAAAGTGCATTGGGAAGAAAACTTAAAGATCTACACTTTTGATAGAAATAGGCTTCCTCAAATTCTGATTTTACTATGCCAAAAATGGATCTTAAATAGAGACTAAAAATCACGAGAATAGCTTTTTCGCCTGAAAGTTAATACTTGATAATATTTCGACCATATTTCACCTCTTGACTCCTTTCCTCATCTGATTGACCTCTAACACTCTTGAATATTCATTCTATCTCCCATCTCATCTATGGATTATTTGCAATTTGATCCCCGAACTTTCAATTTGATTCATTTTGGTCCTCTTTACTTGTTTCTTTTATTTCCATCATCTCATAATATCACCAAATTGGTACTTAGCTCATTCACTTCCTTGATTTGTCCTTCGGACCATCTTTTGGATAATTGCACTTCGGTCCCTAAGCTATCACTTTACTCCATTTTAGTCCTTTTCAACTCTTTTCTCCTGAATTCCACCATTTTCATAGAAACACCTACATTGCATGAATTCAACGAAATAAAGTCACAATTTAAATATTTTACTCGTAATTAAGTCATGTTTGTGATTTAAATAAGTGTGCAAAAAAACACTTATCACATGCCACTCCCCATTCGAAGCATATATGTTTGACAATTACAAAAATCACCACTTCATCCTGTCTCAGTTTGAGCAGCTGCTCATTTGCTATTCTTCCTAGCTCACCATTACCATTAATTCTGCAAGTAGCAAGCAACGTCCTCCGAATAATAGCATTTAGTTCAATCTCCATGGCGTCAATGCACTTAAATGCTTCATCCAACAATTTGACTGAACGTTATAGGCATCTTTCGTCAACTTTTCCAGCACGACTATAGGCAATCAATACCCCCCCATAAATGTAATCTCATCAGGCCTAAATTTCATTTTCTTCATCTCTTCAAAAATGGAAATGGATTTCACCGTATAACCTGTAATTGCCAATCCTACAATTAGAGAATTCCATGAGGACAAGTCCTTCTCTTTCATGCGGTGAATTGAATCAAGTGCCTTTTCAATTCTCCCCCACTTGGCATACATATCAATAGGAGCATTACCAAGGAAAATGTTTAGTTCTCCCTCGCCCATCACCAAAATAGAGCAATGTATCTTCTTCCCAACATCTAGAGCTCCTAAATTGCACAGGTCGACAATAGACTCAACATGGTCACTTCATCAGGACGCCCCGTGCTACTTGTCATCACCTCGTACATCTCCAATGCCTTCTAGTGAAAACATAGCATTCCATGTCGCAAGTCTCTTTTAGGAATCACATTAAACAAATCCATCGCATACTCCATCTCCCTGTTAAGATTTGAGATTTCATCTTAAAAAGGTTAACTTTATTAAGAGGAATAGCTCAAGACAAGTTGCCCTATGTTTCAATCTTTAATTGACGTGGGATTTTATTTCTTAACATGTCCCCGCAAGATGGTGGCTCGTTTAAACAGACTGATCTTGAAATCTGTATGCTCATATATTGAGTCTTAATTGGATTAAATTGCTCGTTAGAGTTCAATGGACCATGATACTATGTTAAGACTTAGGGTTCCATCTTAAAAATGTCAACCTTATTAAGAGGAGTAACCCAAGACCTTATAAGTTGTCTTATGTTTCCATTTTCAATCGATATTGGATTTTATCATTTAACACTCCCCATTTCACGTACCATGTGATCATCACATTCCAAGAAACCAAAACTTTCTCTGGTGGAGCAACACCATTGGCTACAGTGCCAGAATCATTGACATAGTGACACATGGAGCTCTTGTTGGAAAAAATGAGTTGAGTGGCTAACTTTGGCATAAAATTTAAGTGGGACCCGGTTGGTTATTTTAGAAGTTCAAGATTGATTTGTGTTCCCCTCTGTGAGAATATCGAAATCATGTTTTTATTTATCAAAAATGATGTTCGCGTGAATGAGAAATTGGAATTTAAAACGTGCCAATTAAAAGGAGATTATGTATTGGAAAGAAATCATTTAAAGTTTGTCCCACAGAGAAAAATTATGAAGCAAATACCACATTAAATAGAATTGGACTTTGTGTAATCATGTGTAGTATAGAGACTCTCTCTACGTGCATGCATAGGAGGTAAATCGAACCGAAATAAGTTTCAAACGTGGAAATTGAAGCTCTTAGAAGAACTTACGTTTTGCTAATTTTTTCCCTTCAACTGACTGTTTAAATTCCAAACTGAAGCTCCTATATTCATTGTCGTTATGTACGATTTAATGACATTTATGGGGTTAAGCCTATATAAGCAACCAGGTTTCTACCAACAGTTCTGCATAATTTTTCTGCATATTGCATATCATAAAGTTTTTGGTTCTATCCAATTTCTTTTGGTGATACTGTTTTGATATAAGATTTGTTTGGCAGAGTAGTATTTGAGGTGCTCAAATTTTACTGTTCCTCCATTGTATTTTGGGAAACATACGTTTGAATTAAACCTTGAGCACCTACGGTGAGGGGACGAATCTATTTTAAGAAAACTGTATTCACCCAGGCCTCAGCTCAAAATTATTTTTTTGATTATTTCCTTTTTGCTAATTAGTTTCACTCATTCTGTTTTATTTAAATTTAATCTGCTTTATTTTGGCTAACTAGATTAATTTGTTCAGTTTATTGTAATTTAATCTGCTATATTTTGTGTAGTATCTAAGTTCACTGTATATATGGTATATGTAAAATCGATATATGCAAATCCAGTATTTAAGTTCATTGCATATATGATAAGCTACATATACCGTAAGGTACATATACGATATGTGTAAATACGACATGTTGCATATACGGTATGCATAAATCCAGTATGTTGCATATATGGTATGTGTCCATCCGGTATTCATTCACTAACATTTAGTCCAACAGCTCTATCAGACTTTTTAAAACACGATCATATTTTACATCAAGTCTTTTTTCGTCACATAGCATTTTGTCAACAATTCTGTCATAATTCCTCGGATAAAGTGGTTTAATCCTTCCATAATAGATTCATGGGCTTGGAAATTAACAATGACATCTAAAGCCCGGCCTGGTCCCTTCCCTATTCTGTTGGACCTTAATACGGAATGGAATTGATTTTGGGTTAATTATGTTACTACATATATTTACGGGACCAAGTTGAAAAATAAGGTGATTAAACTGAATTTTGTTTCAAAAATTAGGCGCGACTTCAAATTTATTATTTTTATTACAGTGTACATAATTTTCTATTTCTTACATGTTTGTAACTTTTTTTGCAAAATGCTTATATTTAGTTCTGTTTGGTAGGAATTGAAATCAAAGTTTTAGTAGATTATAATAGAAATTAACGATATAAGTGATTGAAAAGTTATGGACTCATGAAATATGTGATTAAAATTAATTATTGATTTCTATAAAAATCTAGATTTTGATTCCTACATAATAGGGGGCTCAATGAGTTACAGTGATAATAATTTAGTCTACATTTATACTCATTTAAATGAGGTGACAGTGTATGTAATTTGTTTGAAATTGTAACTCATATTATGCGTTATTGCTGATATAGTTTATGTAATTTTTTGAAATAGTATCTTATCAACTCATGCAATGTTGACCGTGACTATAAATGATATAGGTAATCGCATAAAACCCCACTTTGGTGAGGATCCCAAATTATTTGAAGTTGGTTGGTTGGTTGAAAAAACGAAAATTATACTTATGAAATTCTTTGAAATAGAATCAGCATATGCAAACAGAAGAAATTAATAAAATTTGAAAATACCAAAACCCTAAAATATTTATATAAACTACCTATAACGTGATATTATAGTATTTTCAATAAACTTTCTATTTTTAAATATTATTTTTTTTTTAATTTAGAGAGTATCTATAAATTTAGAAAGTAAAAATTTTTAAGTATTCTAACAAATTTTTTATATTTAACACTTAATTTTACCACTTTTAGAAAATAATTAGTAGTTTTTCCTATCTTTTATTTTAATTAGCTTCCAACCAAATGATCATACTACTTTTCTTCATTAAAAATTGAAATACTTTAAATACATTTAATTATAGAGAGTGGATTTGACTCTCTAATTGGAAAACCCAGCTCATTATTTATTTTAAAATGTTAATTTAAAAAGTCTTTTAGAGCATAATTTTAAGAGTTGATTATTTAAAATAGAGAGCATTTTATATTTAAAGAGTCTCTTCAAAATATTTTTAGAGGGCATAAAATTTATCATATACATTTATTTATCTCATAAATATATCACAATAATTATTTTCTTTTCTATAATTAAGTTGAGCCTTTATCTTCCAAATATTATTCTCTTTTATTAACCAGAAAAAAATGTAAATTTAGTTTCTTCAAAATCCACGTTCTCTCACCAGTCACCCTCAATTTTTTTCAACTCAAAAAGAAAATATTCTGGAAAGAATTTGTACCTTTTTTCATAATGAATCATCTCTCTTTGAATTAAAATATTGAAGATACAATTTATCCATACCAATTCCATCCATGACTCCGTAGGCGGTTTAATTATAGAAAATTAGAGAAATTACCCATAATTATATCACTTCTGCAATATTAGGTCTTCATTTAAGCATCGACGATGAGAATATATATGGCATTACATAGATTTACCTCTTCTTGTTGAGTTCTCTCAGGCCCGGTCCTGGGCACAGGCAAATGAGGTCTATGTTTCAAGCCCAAAACCATAGGGGGTCTATTTTGGCCCAAAGTTTTTTTTTTTTTTTAAAATTAAAAGAAGGAAAACGGGAATAGTTTTTTCATTAATTGTGAGATTATTAAGATATTTATTTGTTGTTTTAATGTTGAGTTTTAAGTTAGCAATATATTACATAACACACCGTTGAATTTTGCATTTACATTGATTTTGGGACCTAATTTTTGAAATTCGCCTTGGGGCCCGACAATCACAGGACTGGCCCTGAGTTCTCTTGATGTGTTACACTAGTCCTAGCAAGACAAGTTATATGGCTATATCTATTATTACACACATAAAAAATCACACTTCATGCTACCATATTGCACACGTTCAAAGTAATTTTTGGTTTTTATTTATTTATTTATTTTTTGTGCGCCTTCTCATTTTCTTTGCCCCTAGTGCCTGTGCTTCAATGCAAATCATATCTGTAACCACGATAGAAAACTCGGTGCTATTTTATTCAAGTAGCTTTACCCGTCGAATAATAAAATTTGAAGAATTTTTGAAGTACATGGATTCTGACATTGATGGATTGGATTTATTTTCTGAGATGTAATTCGTAAGAAAATGTTTGTCGGAAGACACTAAAAAGCGCGTTCTATGTAAAAATGATGGGTTGTTATTTTTTAATGTATGGATTGCTTATAAAATATTATTGATTATCTTAGTTTATAGTTGCATCTATCGAGAGGAGCTTCTCAAGGTTGAAGTTAATAAAAGCATATCTTCGATCTACAAGGTCACAAGAAAGGTTAAGTGGATTGACCATTGTGTCTATTGAAAAAGAAGTTTTAAAACAAATTAATTGTAATAGTGTAATTGTTAATTTTCTATCAAAAAATTCTAGAAGAATAAATTTAGTCTTTGTTTGGGCTCGAGTTTAATGAAGTTTAAAGAAAAATATATTTTGAGATAATGATTTTTTAGAGAAATGTGGTTAAAAAATTTTTTTGGGTTTACATGTAATATTATTTTATTGAAAAATATAAAACAGAAAAAAAGAGAAAAATA